AGAACTGTATCATTTCTCTCAGAGACGAAGTGTCTGCAGTGATGCACAGTTGAAAAAGTGAATACAAGGCAGCAAATACAAGGGGTTTTGCATGATGCTGGTTCGAAGTCATAGACTCATTAGGGTTGGAAAGGACCTTAAGTTCATCTAGTGCAGGATCTAGATGTTACATCGAGGGAAATTCAGCCAGAGGCTCTTGCTGGAGAAAGTTAGCGCATCAGTGAGTTAGTATTGGAGAAGCCTCACTAACTTCATGGCCATTTGTGCAGTGGCCTCTCACAGGAAGAAGGCTCTCAATGACCTGTGCTAACTTCTAGCAGCTTCTCTTGGTCAAAAAGGACATTGAAGGCTTTGTGTTGGGACCTGGTAGGATAGCAGAAGAAGCACGAGTTCTCTCTTCAAAGATTTCAACTGGACCTGTGCGCATACGTAATCCCCTTCCTGACCTCTGTCCAAAAATATTCTTCTTAGAGCCAAGTGGGGGAAGATAAATCCGTTTTGTTATAACCCCTGAACTTTCCTATTTAATTTTCCTTCCACAGCAGAAGCAAAATCTTTCTCCAGAGGGGAATGACATCAATCCACCTGCTTTGGGATTGCAAGCGTTTTCCTTCAGGTCTAGCCTTGCTCTTTAATGCAGGTCCAGCTTACCTGAAAATAGCAAACAACTTCTGCTTGACAAAAAACAGCACATCAGTGCAAGAGAATTCACTTTCAAAATTCCATTGAGCCAAAAATGTTCTGATCAGCTGCAATTCACACTCCATTGGTTTCATTCTCCTTTTGTGCATTACTGCTGCCCAGTGGATTGCATAAACTCAGAAGCTAATTCTAAGCAGATGGACCTGATTTTAGTTGCTTTTTTTTGCCAGCCCCTCCATTTCTGTGCCAGCAAGAAATCCAGCCACACTGGGAAACATCCTCTTTTTACTTCTATACAAGGCAAACCAAAGCGTTTCTGCTGTAGCGTTAACTTTTTGGCTCCTGTTGCTTTCAACCAACAGCCACAGCTCTCACTTTAGGTCAGTGTTCAAATGGTTCCCAAGCTTTTATGCCTTTTCTCATTGAGCAAACAGTGGATTCATATTTCCATGCTTTCCCTGTTTCCCTGAGAGTAAAACTTTCCCTGTTTACTGGCACTCAATATGCCTGTAGTATTGAGCTCTTAAGGGCAGACCAGCCTGTCCTGGTCATCTGGAAATACCTAATACACTGAGCTGTGAGGCTGAAGTATGAACATCAGCACAGATCCAAACATTTGTGTTGGAAAGGAGGGTTTCTGTGGGAATTGCCAGGTTTGACACATTAAAATAACAATGCTAGCAAAATCAATAGAATATAATTAAAAAATGGTCATTTCAAACTACTTAGCTGCAGAATGTATTTAAAGTAGCAGAGAAGTTAACACAGTTAAAATAAAAATATAGCATAAGGAAAGGAAATGTTTCAGCTTATGCCAGGTGGTTATTTCCTTCCATGATCAATTCCCCAAAACTCTTGAAATTTAGGCTCTTTGGCCACCTGCATCTGGGAATTCAGTACATCTCTATGGCCTAAGAGATGTGCAAGTTTCACACTCTGAGCCAACAACAGGTATCACTTACTATTCCCTCCATGCAAGCTGGAAGGGGATGCGTACACTTGCTACCAAAGCATCGCATCCTTGATACCACCCCTTCTCTCTTTACTCCTTGATAGAATACAGTGCATTGAGGGCATGGCTGCTGTGTCATTGTTTGAGTTAAAATAATAAAAACACATTTCTAGCTGTGGTGGGAACACAGAAATTGGCTTCTTTAGCCCAGCAAAGTGCATCTTGTTCACTGATCTGTGACTTTCCATTTGTGCCCAACACCAGGACAGGAGTTAACTTCATCTCATCCTTACTGGCTACTCACTGCTTGTATATTTATACTCAAATAGTCCTGATGATTCATTGTTCTCCTTTGCAGAAATGATAGAGTATTTGGGAATAAAATCTCGGCAGCTACTGGTTTTAAAGCAGGGGTCCAATTTAAGGGGTTAAAAGGTACAGGGAACTGATGCTGCAATATATAGCCATTCATAGATGCCTTAATTCTAGCTCATGTTTCAAAAGAGTAAAAGTCACATCCATCATTCAGCTACCCTGTGTCTGACAGGGAAGTAACATGTTATCAGAACACTGGAGGCAGCTCCATCTTTGCCATACTGGAATATTAAGCAGTATATTAGAATATTAAGCAAAACAGCCCCAGTGAAATGGGAAAGTGTTATTTTACTGGGGGGAACCTGAGACAGAGATTAAATATTGTCTTCTGGGAGCATAGGATTGATCGCAGACATTCCAAGTAACCTTCTGCTCTACCCCTGTGACTTTCTCTTTCTTGTTGGTGCCACATGTCTGCAGCCAGCTATAAAACTGCTGCTGCTTTGGGTACTTGGCAAGACTTACAGCAGCTGGTCCATGCAGACTAATGACCCTGTCACAGTCAAACATAGTGCCTTTAAATTCAGTGCTGAGGAACGCTGGCAAGGTGTAAGGGACATTTGCTGCTAGACTTACTCTTTGGATATGTATGTGTATTTATTTCTCCCCATATGCTATAACACATTTCACACACATGACATTTATTAGAGATCCAGATTTAAAAAAAGAGGTATGGCAGTATGGGAAGAAAAGGATTTCTGGTTTTGGTACAGGGATGGGGAGAGCAAAGCTCTCTATTTTGAGTAAGGTCTCTACTTCAGTTGTAAAATTGAGATAAAATTATCTTTCTTTAGGGCTATTCCTAAACTAGACTAAGTGTCTGTGTGACGTTATCATAACAAAGCTGACAATTTAGTACTCAGGAGTTTATTTTTAACATCCATCTTATTATTGGCTCCTTCATCCTCACATCCCAGCAGCTGCTTTTATGGCTCTTCTGCCACAGAGGAGCAGTTGCTGCCTGGATCTGAAGGTCTGTGTTCAGGATGTGTGAGGCAGGATGTGTCTGTGAGCATTCACTCACTCAGGCTGAGGATCTGAAATCACTATGGTGCAAGGAATGAAGTGACTGTAGTTCTGAAATAGCTATAGTTTTAGCAAGCTGACTTGTTATATATAACATGGTGTATTGTGCATCTTTGCTTTAAACAAAGTTATGCTCTTGCATTTAGCTGATAGGCAGTTCCAAGGCTTTAATATTATAAAAGCTTGTCATTTGTGGTTAGCTAAAATTTCACTGTAAATCCATTAGGAAAAGAACAAAACAGAGAAGGAGAAACAATATATATAGAATCATAGAAAGATTTGGGTTGAAAGGGACCTTAAAGCTCATCCAGTTCCGACCTTCCAGGGATACCTTCCACTAGACCAGGTTGCTTCAAGCCCTTTCCAGCCTGGCCTTGAACACTTCTAGAAGGCCTAGAACATTTCCAGTTTCTTAAAGGAGGGCTGAATACCAGTGCAAGCTCTCCCAGGTTTCAGATTCATTTTAGGTTTTATTATTTGATACAAATGAGAAGTCTGTCTTGAGAAAACCTCAAAGCTCCTGATGGTTCCTGAATTCTCTGGTACAGTGTTTGTGTGCCCAGGTGACTGTAGTGCTTGGCTGTGGGCAGCAGGGAGATGTCTGACTCCACACACATTCCCAGCTGGCTGGAAATGGCAGCCTGAAATTGCTGCCTAAGGAAAACCAGTTCTTTTGTCCATCATCAAAAAGATTACAGCTGCTGGCTTGCTTACAAAAGCACAGATGGACACCAGCACCACCATCTCCAGCTCTGCAGCACTGTTCTTCCAGTTTATTCTCTATTTTGCTGATGTTTGTAAAGAGGCAGGGGTTCAGCACCTTCCAGCGGGGGACAATCTCACCATCTGAAACAGGACATTTCATTCTCACCTAACACATCAGCCATCCTGGGCATGCAGCCTGCCACAGCAAGGTAGCACATCTGACTACAGATCTCTCTCATAAGAAGTCTGCCTCCTTTTCTGGTGATCTAGAAGATTCCATTTCATCTGTAGGAATGTTCCTTGCCTGCTTTGAAACAGAGTTTGGATATTGCAGCAAATATCTCTTGAGGTAAAAAATACTGCTTAGGCAGGGAGCTAAGCAAAATTATTAACACTCTGCAGTCAAATGAAGGTGGATCCATCCATTTCCTTTGAATTCCTCTGGTTTTGTAATGCAGGTTTCACTGTAGGAAATGGACTAAACAATGTCCATGGGGCATATAAGAGAGAAAAGTAATGTATCCATTTTCCATTTTCATGAATTCGTTGCTACGCTAAAGATGCTCTAGGGGCACTGGTCTATTTGGGAGTGATGGTTTTGCTGGTTAGCAGCCAGGCACAGCAGTGAACTCGGACCAGCTTGGTTTACCAGAAAATCAGTGTTTTATGGTTGCCCCAATTTTTTGTTCTGCATTCAGAGATATTCCTGACATTGACTCATCTGGCTCGTAATATGGCCATGACTCAAAACATCAAGGTCAGGAAAGCACATGATCGTGATGCTTATCAAGACCTCCTGCCTGCACTGAATTTGGCCAGAAACCCCATAAGGAAAGCAGTGAGATAGCTTGTGAAATGACAAGAGTGATTTCTACCTGCTCAGGACTGACTCACACACTGCAAGTGATGCCTTGAAACCAAACTGGGGCTCTGTTGACAGGCATGGTGAGAGTGGATAGTCAAAGCAAAATGCAGTCAACTGGAGTTATCTATATTTAGACCTTAGGGAAAATAACTCGTTATAGTTTAACTGAGACATATGTCACTGTCCTGACTATCATTTACTCTGAGGATTCCCACCTTGGAGGGAGCAGGGAGTGGTTCAGTTTTTGCTGATGTGAGACAGTGGGAAAGGATAACAGGGCACAGGGTAAGTGAGGACCGTTCCGCTGGCAACTGGAAGAATTTTGGAATGCCTGTGGTTTAACCCAGGGTGAATTCAATTTCTGACTATTCTTCAAAAGCAAAGCCCATTGCCATGCAGCAGCAGAGCTCACGAATCCCAAGCAGACCCGTAGCAATGATTGCTGACCAGCTCTGCCTCCAGCCACATCCTTCCAGCCTACCTCAAGGCTGAGAACCTTTGCTTTGTGAGAAAATGTCAAAATCCAGGCAGCCTTGAGAATCCTGGAGGGGGAGAGGATCAGGCTTGATGGCAAAGTAAGGAACGAGTAACAGAGCATAACCATGGATTTCTAAAGTAACACAACTCATCGCTTGCTTCTCCAACTTGAATTCATGGGTCTAGACATTGCTATTAAGGGGAACAGAGTTGTGGGAATCTAAAGCTTTTCCTGCCTGCAGTATGATTTGTAGCAAAATGTATGGTAGGTACATTGAAGCTAAGGATCCTGCCTTGAGTTAACTTGTTGGCAAAGTACACAAATGCGGCTTCAGCAAGAGCTGACTTCTCTGCAAACTAAATTGGCTAATGTATGAACCTGCCACTCAGTTAAAGTGTTCCTGTCATCCCCCAGAATGCTGGAAATAAAAGGATATTGGATTGTGCTGCTAGACTGGGGTCCAGAAAAAGGTTTCATATTCTGAGTAATATTTATCTGAGTTCTCAAGGGAAGGTTTGGCTGGGTCACGTCTCAGATCTTTAAATCTTCCTGGGACTGACCTGATTTTGCCTTTGCTTTCTTGGTGCTCTGATGTACTGCATGTGCATAGTGCTGTAGTATCAGTCCTAAACCTCTGTCTAAGGGAGTCTTTACTGTATCAAAACCCTATCATGCAGTTTTCCCAGGCAGAAGGAAGACCTTCCTATCTGAGCTCCAGATCTGGGAAATGGCCATTCAGTAACACAGAGCCTGAGGTATAGTAATGCAACCATGCTGCAATAGCATGAATTGTCAATTTGAAGAGAGGAAAGATGTGCTAAATTATTAATGTTGATTGAGAATGGATAAAAATACCTTGAGAAAGGGTGAAAGTGTTTAATTGTTTGTGTAATGTATATAAATGTGCATATGATATCAGAAATCTGATGAGGGAGAAACCATACATGAAACCTGTACTCATCTTGCTGTTGTATCTCCCCTGATCCACTTAAAAATAGGCTGGACAGGGTACATCAGAAGGCAGAGAACAGCACCCTCTAAATTTCTCCATTACTGATTTCTTGCATGCTCTGAAATGCACTAACCGATCAACCAGGGAAGGGACTTGAACTGAAAACAAACCCAGTCATTTCTCTATTTTCCTTAATAGGACTTCTGGAACGGGAATCTTTGAAGGGGGCAGGGGTTAGGAACCTGCTCCTATGTAATTCAGTTGCAAAACAACCCTTTTTTTTAAGGTCTGAAGGGATATTCCTTTTGAATTATTGCATTGTAAACAGCAGCAAGATCCTTAGCCCATTCCTGCCTTCAGCATCCCTCCCCATCCTATTCTGTTGTGATCTGATTCCAGATCCCTATTTGCTGGTGGTGCCTGTCTTTGCATCTTCATTGTTACACTGCCAAACTCTGTTCTACCCCTGTATGTCCTGTACCCACAGATACTTTTAGTCTGGTCTCTCTTTTTCTTTAGCCCATTGCATAGCTAAGTGAAAAATGCAGCTCTGAGATAGGGAACGAGTTCTGTGATGCACATGATTATAATTACAGGAGCTTTTTCTTTCTCAAGGTACCAGGTATCAGCAGTCTGTTCATATTCAGGTTCTAATTAGCAGTACATCTTAGAAGAGGTCTTAAAATGGCTGTATGGTGATTTCAGCCTATCTATATGTTTATGGTTGGATCAGACTCCCAGGAGGTGCAGGAGGGACAAATTGACTCATGTTTCTAATAACTTCTTCATTTGTAAAAGCAAAGGGAATTGTATTTCTTTTAGGCTCTTTCCATCAATACATATTGATCACTTAACAAAGCCAGTCTTTGAGCTATGAAAGGCCTTTGATTAAAATTTCACTTGGCAGCCTCTTGGATTAGACATCTTCATGAACACTGGAGCCCCACAATATGAAAAAGGAAAGGAAATGAGGAGGCACTAACCTAAAGTGTAAGAAGTGGAAAATTATGTATTAAATGCCAGGCACGTACTCTTAGATACTACTGTGTCACTTCACATATTGTACAGTCAGTTAGGTTCATAGGGATGGATGTAATCACTGCAGAAAAAAATCTCAGGGGCTAAAAATATTCTGTTTAAAGCATTCAGACCAGTACTTGTAAATCTCACTGTGTTTGTTAAGAAGCTGTAGGTTTTCTACTACATTCTTGTGGTAATTGGAATTCTCTCTGCCTTAGAAAATTGGATTTGTTTTGAATGGGAAGCAAACTTTCTGCTACAAAATCAGTTCTGATATAGCTGAGGTTTCACCTTTCTGTTTGTTTTTGCCAGAAAACTCCATACCACATAGGGAGATAGCTGATATTACCAATAAATGCTACTGTGGATGAGTCAGCTGCAGAGGAGGGGAGCACTGTTCAAGTAACTGTCTGTAGAAAGAAAGGAAAACTCTTTTGAGATTCACCAAAAAGGAAGAAGGCAGCACTTTATTTAGCTGTAAAGCAGCAGTTGTGATCAGAGGTGACAAAAGAAGATTGGTTTTCTTAATGCAAGTGATCCATTCTGGCACTTGGAGGCTGCTAAGAATATCTAGGTGGGTGATTTAACCTTTTCTTATGTGGTTATTTAAGATGTTTCAGCAAGGAAGTCTTTAGGGGACAACACAGTTAATGCCACGTTGAGCTGTATAATGAATCTGATCAAGTGTGTTTGTCCAAAACATCATCCATTTTTTAGTTAGTGATAAAGAGTTGTGACCACAGTCATTCAGAGACAATGAAGTGGTAAAACCAGATCTTCTGCCATATCTCAGTAATGGGACTTCTCTGGGGACCTCCATTATCAAAGCACTAGAGGCTTGAAAATTACTCAGTAGAAATGTGATCTTCTCTCACAACAGAATGAAGCTGGTGTAGAGGAGGACGTCAAAGAAAGCAGAAATGACAGAATGTACTTAAAGTTATTAACAAACTATAAATTATTTGGTTTCGTGTGCTGCTTCCAAGTGCTAACACACTAAGTCAGCAAATCCACCAGAAAAGGTTTGCTTCAACAAAAGGTAATAAATGCCACTTGCTACTCTGTCCTAGGTGAGTAAATTAGAATATTCATCTAAGTCATTGCACCAATCTCTGCATGCACGTGCTTATATCTGACCTAATCACTTTGCTAGCCTTTGTAATCAATAGATACACGCATACACACAGATAAAATCCAAAGAACTCTGATTTCTATCAAGAAATGGAAGGTCCTACTTATCTTTCCTACTCTGTGAGAAGGTAATTAAGCAAAACCAACCGTTTCCTGACTGGGGGATCTCTCATGACCTCAATTAGTGCATGGGAAGGATGGAAACATTTTTTGTTCTATTTTAACCTAATTCTCTCGCCAGGCTTCTTCTTCAAAGGCTGCAGATTAATTTTTCTGATGGTTATTAGATCTTTATCTGTGGGTAAGACAAATAGCGCAACATCTGCAAAGGTTAATGCTAACTTGACCAATCCCCTCCTTTAAAAGGCAAAGCTATATTTCTGTGGCCTGGAGCTGCCAGTACTGCAGATGCTGTGCAGTTACAGGACACAGCACCTCATGGAGATGGCAGGACAGGAGAGCATGTTGCTGCGCACGGGCCAGTAGAGGTTATATATCCTGTACATAGGTGCAGAATGTAAGGACTTCAGCACTTTGGGGGGATCTTTCTAACCTCAGCTGTGAGTGAGAAGCTCTGTCACCTTGAGCTCCCACTGCAGGCAATGGGGATACACATTCATCTCCAAGCTTGGTAGAAGTCTCTGTATGGAAGCAGCCAACTCTCTGTTGCCTGTGAAGGAAGCCATTAGTGACAGCTTCTAGTCTCTCTTCAGTGGGTGTCATGAATCTGTGATCTCACAATTAGATCACAAGCCTCAGACGCCCCTGCTCTCTAAGTTGTTTCAATTAATCAAGGTGAATGGTTGTATGGCTGGAAGGCAGATTGTTATATGTGTAACTAAATCTCAAGTCACACAAGAGTTCATGCTCATAAGACAGGCAGACTTAAGTCTTTTTTTTTTCCTATCAGATAGGGATGAAATTAATTTCATTTATTAGCATAAACCCCAAGGCTCTGTAGATGGCTACAGTGACTGAATTTGGACTAATGTCTGAAATGCGGCCATTCCAGCCCTCTACAATCTGAGGTTGTCACAGCCACTGTGTTTTATAGCCTTGCTTCCAATCTGTTCCTCCCATGGCAAGGTCCCAATCATCCAATTATCCCAAGTGCCAATCTCTCTAAGACCCTGTACTAATAATCCTCAGTATTAACAGAGCTAGTGGCACTAAAATATGAGAGGATTGGTACTTCTCTACATAAAATTATCTCGATAAACTCAAAATCAAGACTGGATAATCAAAGGATTGCAGTAGCAGTTGGACAACTTAGAAGTATTTATTAGTAGTTTATATATTAAACTAGGCTGAATAGGTTGTAGGTGGGTTGTAGTCTATCTATAAAGGACAGCAGACAGTACTGTGTCCCACAGTCCTTACAAGCTAAACCCCCTCTTGCGTTTTAGCTCCAGAATAAATCATCCCACTTTTTGTTGCTACTACTCCTATATTCCAGCCTGAAGTAAATCTCAGTGAAGAACCTCAGGCAGCCAAGCAAGAAGGAAGATATTAGATAAAGGCACAAAAGTATGTAGACACCAAAGCTAATAGGCAGGCAAGTAATACGTAACAATTTAGATTGGTATACCTGGATTCCAAAGCTGATTGTTTGTATGCAGCCCCCAAATGTAACAGATTGAAATTAATCTATGACATTTTCCCCTTTGTTGCCTTATTAGTTTGGAAACAAAGATATTACTGTTGAATGGCCACTTAAAGACCTGAACAGTTCTCCCTCTGGGCTTTAATAATTAAACCCATTCAGTGAAGTGAATTCATTGCAATGCTAAAACAAGGTGGCTTCAAACCCACTAGATTTAGTGTTGATTAGAGTATTTCCCTAGGCAGTGATAAGCAGCCATCAGCTGACTCAGTTTCTTGCTAAGCAGGATTCAAGTGACTAATTCTCGTATCTGTGGAAAAAACCCCAACATTGTTATAAAGGAAAAGGTCAAAAGATGCACAAGCCAGAATTTGCTATTTAGTTCTACCCTAAGGCAAGCTTTAAGTTTAGCTGTGTCTGCAAAGTGGTTGTAGTTAAGGGCAGGATATTTTTGACACCCAAAGTGCCTACTCTTAGCAAAATCACTCTCCCTGAGTTTTAAAGACAGATGGATGGAGAGCCTGACAGAATTATACCCTCAAAAGGTTAAGCCTGTCAGAAACCAACCTGAACCACACTGCATTCACTTTGCCCTATACTGAGGCAAATACTGGCCACTGAAACAGAAACCTGCACATTCACTGCAGGGTGCTCCCAAATTCATGCAAAAGCTGTGAAGAAGAAACAAATGCAGAAGCACAAGCTGCTCAAACCTCCATTTGTTTCTCTTCCCCTTGCAATTCACAGCTTACAATGTCTGTATGAGAGCAGAGCTACAAATAAGTTGGCTGTTCATCCACCGTGAAATGATTTCTAAATTCCTATCCATTATCTGAGCAGGAAGAGGCACCGCTGTTCTAGTTTTTTGTGCTAGCAAAAGAGCTTCTAGTGACAAAAAGACTATTGAAGAGGATAGCTGGATGTCTTCTTGTTTTGCTAACTCTGTTGAGCTAGTTTGCAACTCAATGCCAGCTTCTTGAGAATGTTTGTTGGCCTCATCTTCTTTCAGCTGATTAGTTGGATAGAATGGTTTGCCTGGAGCATCAGTTAAGAGTAGACATGTTGTTAACGACTGGCATTCAATTTGATTCTGATTCCCTCCTAAGAAAACTTGAGATACTATAGGAACCCAACTAGTATTTTCTTCCATGTTTTCCAGACTTTTGCTTCAATATTTTGAGACAGCAGATGCTACAATTCCTCCAGTCCCATTCCAACTCAAGCCAAAACTGGCAGATATTTGCATATTTTACTAAGCTTGAGTGGTTCCAATCTACACTTATAGTAAAGATAGCTCTTCCATTACTGGTCACTGCTTATAGAAAGTACTTAGAAAGTTTATAGCTCCTATAGTACCATCTTTATAACAGTGAGAATATTTACTAATCCCTGTTTGAATCATTTAACCATATTCAGCTGTGATTTGCGACGAGAACTCTCACTGTCATTTCTCATGTGAAGGAGATCTACTCTATATGCTGCCAACAGGTACTTTATTTCACTTTCACAGCCCCTGTCAGCAGCAGGAAGGCATTTCTTATCTGTAGAAATTCCCAGGGGAAGTTAGTGACACAAGCAGTGGGAGTTGGAGCAGCGGCAGGAGCAGGGGAGCAGCGTGCTCTTCCCATGTCCTGTTGGTGGTTCTGATGACAAGTCTTTGGCAGCATAGGACGCTCACTGGAGCCAAGAGAGCAGTGGGCAAATTTCACTGTTTCTGTTTCTGTGGTTTGTAGGGATTTTTTAATCAGTTCATGCTCCCTTTTCTGCTAGAGCAAAGCTGTGGTGTCTTTGTAGTCAGAACTTTCTTTGTTGGCTTTCCAGAGTATTACATTGTTCGGCCAGACCTAAGTGCTTACAAGGATGTGAGCTGTGTTATTTACCATAAACCAAGAGGAAAAGCGTATGGAATGCTCCTGTTCCCCTGGCTGTTTTGGCAGCAAGGGGGCTGTAGATTAATTAGGAGTCCTGCTGGCTTCTTGACAGTAAAATCCTCAAGAATTAACTTCAATAAATTACTGAAATGTGAAAATAATTTGGTACAATCTAGGAATGCCTTGGCATTGCTGTGTCAGATTTAATAGCAATTCCTTGCACTTTCTGCTCTCTGGATGAGAGGTGCTTTATAAATAGAGGATGTTTATCTCAAGAGAGCTCAACTTGATGGGTGCAAAGCACCTATAAGACTGTAGGACTGTAGCACTTTCCCTTCTGTGGCCAACACACTTTCAGATCGCCATATTCCCAGTTTCACAATTATTGCCATTTCCATAACACTCAGTTGTGTTGATTCATCTGATCATGCAGCCACCCATTAAACCTGATTCTGTGAACAGCACTGTTTTAGTCAGATCTGCTCCATGGTGGGAGCACCAAATAGCTGGAGTGGCATTGTTGTGGGAAAAGCTTTTTCTCTCCAAGGGAAGGGGATAACAGGCAGGAGACATAGAGACCAGACCTCAATCCCAAGAAGGAGCAGCATGCAGAAAGAGCCAAGGGGACAACCAGGTGCACTGTGTGCTTAAAACCTGTTGTATGTTTAGACCCTTAGCTGGCAACAGGAAGATGGTGGCTTTTAAAGATAGAAGTTAGGGATTCTGAAGAGCACCTTAGCATAAGAGATGCCTAATTCCTGTTCCTCTCAAGGCATTAAACACCTCTGATGACCTTTCTCTTTTTCAAGCCCCAGGTTCCAAATGCATCCCCTACTCTATTTGCCTTGTTAGTTTTAGTGGCTTTTTTCCCCCCTGCATTTGCCTTCCACCTCTGTCTCAGCCTGTGATAGCTTTGTGTGTGCTGCTAGTAGTGTGCACAACATGAATGCTAAAGAAAGTTAATACATTAACAGCAACTGATGGAAAAATGCTGGATCACACCGGTAATAGCTTTTATTTGCTTTCCAAACACGTTTGCACAAAAGTGTTTTGCCAAGAAAGACAGTGAAAAGGAAAAAGAGAGCACGAGTGTTAAATATAGAGTGTATTTCTACATTGTGCTAATATCATCATGAGGACGTGGGTCATCCAGGCAGCAGAAACAATCTGAAGATCTCTGAGCTGAAGCATGTGATGTGAATAGCAGGGCCTTAAAGCAATGGCTGCAGTGACTGGTTTGTCACTGGCCTATTGCCAAGGCTGACTTACTGAAGGAATGGGTTGTGAATATATCATTTCAAAGCAGCTACATTGCTAAAAATCAAAGCCTGTACATGGTCATTTGAAAAGAGGTAAGGCAGCTCCATAGACCTGCTTGTTCCCCACAGGCTCACTCAGTGCTTTAAGCCTTTTCCATGCTATACAGCTGGGCAGAGGAAGAACATGGCAATTAGATGATTTCTCACTAGAGGGTGACAGAATCATGTGAGGGAAGCAGACACTACCTACCTAGCATCACTTCTGGTCCTAACTCACAGCTAGTGAGTTAGTAGGTTGTGAAAAAAAATTCACATCATTAAATGAATTAAACCATTTCAAGGACAGTGATTGAAGTTCAGCTCTGACAGGAAGAAATCTCTTCTCTGCCTGCAAGGGCAATTGGTGTAATTACACATGTGTCAATGAAATGAGGTAAAGAATAAATCAGTGTCAGGGTAGTAAAGCACAGCGCATTTCTTCCAGCAACATGAAGTATCTTATTGCATCAACATCCTTTATGTTTATTGATATCTTCTAGTTCTCAAATCTCCTGCCTTGTCCATAGGGTTGAAATTCCTGTGGTTTGGTTTGGTTTGTTTTTTAAACCCTCATTTTCCCATCTGTTACAGAAAATAACCCCTCTGTCCCCTCTGAGAATATTGCTGTCTGATGCAACATTGCAGGCTCCAGGATGGGAAGATGAGAACCACTGCACCCTTAACCCTCTTCTACCAAAGCATGTGATAGCTGTCAGGTATGTCTGTGCTCATATAACCTCTAAGTCCTTATTTCTGTAGGCAAAGAGCCAGTTGGACCCAAGATAATTGTTATTCTTAAATATAACCAGTGTGCAAGGTTTGAAATACTTGGAATAACCAAATACTGTAAAATGCAGGCTTATTGAGACTGCATCTTAGAGAAGGCTTTGTAAATAGCCATCTTCTGCTCACCTTCCTTTAGATATCTGTGCCATACTGATAAAGCCAAGACTGAAAAGCCCTTTTAGCTACAAACTAGGCATGACTGGTGGTTTTTTCTAAGATCTAGCAATGGATCATGGTTTAATTTGGTGTTTCTGGATTATACTATATTGAAAATAACTGTATAACCACCATAACAATTGCAGTAGTAATGTTCCAATTGCTGTAGAGCTCTAAACAATGGTCACTGCAGGGTTTTAGAGGCAGATCTGGTACAGTCAATAATGACTTTTAAGGCATGATGTTTGATCTCAGCATATGGTAGTCAAGAGAAAGCTTTCCATCTGTTTTCATTAGGTCTGATGGAGTCACTGTCCATCACCATTTGAGCACTGCTTTTAGAAAACAGACTGAACAAATACTGCAGTTTACACCTTGTGCTTAGTTCCAGTCATGTGCAGGGTTTCACACCTAACTTGCTCTTTGCTCTTGTAGGCAAAGGTACAAAGTTATTAGCAGATTTAGGGGAAGTAAAAGAACATAAAAAGCTGAAAATGGATAGACAGTATTAAAGACTAGCATAAACCCGGGTTGGATCCCTTAACCTTTTTAACAGGGTGATTTAGCAGTAGATGTAGGACAGTGAACTTCAGTCTGTGCAAAGGATTGAGTGCCATCCAGACACAGTTGGGAACTGTCTATCATTTGCTTTGCTGTACTCTCACACAGGAGGAAAGCATGCAAATGATAATGCCTACTTCTTACAATTCTATAGCTCCAACAGAGGAATAAACAAGTAAGCCCTCTAAGAAGTAACTTGTAAGAGAATTATAAGAATGCAGTAGTGGTTTCTGGTCTAGGAAGGAGAAAAAAATATTCATGACTTCAGAGGATAATTTTATGCCTCATCACAAAAGATCACCAAGGCCACTGAGGGGGAGTGAGGGAAAACAGCAGGCATTTTGAGGAAGAAACATGCTGTATTATAGTAATGAGGGTTTGTTGGTTTGTTCATTGGTTTTGTTCTAAATAAAACAAGCATTCAACTGAAGTTCAAAACCCAAGAAAAGGCTTCTTTTCCTCCAGTAACTGACCACTGGTGCTCCTTACACCTTCCCCCATGGTACACATCCTAGTTGTTACAGGTTTGGGCAGTGTACTTGACTTGTCATGGCAGTGTGTAAGGTCCTGCTTACTCACTGTGTGTTAAATGCACCACCGTGCTAAAGAGCAGCAGAAGTGCTCTGTGCTTTGCTCTTCAAAGTGCATCTTTGGACTTGTCTTTACTGCTGCATAGACTATGTATGTGAAGGGTGAATTCTACACTGAGAAGACACATAAAGGGTGTGAAACAGATTCCTCTGGGTTTAATTCTAACATATTTGTACCTAGAAACAGGATTTGTGCAGCTTTTCTTGGGTCTGCTTTCTGATCTGCTGCTGTGAGAGCTTGTGCACAGCCTGACCAGATGACACTGCATGCCAGAAAACAGCTCAGAAACATAAAACACCATGTTCTCCTAGATTTTCTGATATCCTCTGAACAACTCTATCCTTAACTGGGGTGTTGAATGCTTGTAATGAAGCAAATTCAAACAAATCTATGATTTCCTCATTTATCTCCCTCTCTGTAGTGTTCTAATAGGTGTGAAGAAGAGGTGTTGGCAGAGGTTGAAGTTTGCAAATGCTCTGATTGTCTACAAATGAGGCACAGTGTGGTGCTCACAAGACTTAAATAAAACTTTTCACTGGTAACACTGAGAGCATTTGACCAAAATAGTCAGTAACAGTTCAAAGGCTTGCAAGGAGCAAAGCATTGGTATTTATACTTCAAAGTCTATCTAAATTGAGGAACAGACCTAACTCTCTTGCTGAGTGGTGCCTGTGTGTAGCATATTTCACTCTTTTAATGTCTGCATCTCTCCTTAGCATGTTCAGAAATGAGTGAAACAAAACTGTTCTTGCTGGTACACGATAGAAACCCCTCAGATCTGATGCACAAAAGTAACCTGGTCCTGCTTTACTTTTGCAGCTGGTCTGGTGAAGCTTGCTAAAATAAAGCAGAAAGCTTAGGAATTGCTGGAAAGGCAACTTAGATTCATGAAACAAAAGCAATGTAGAGTTTAGCAGTAAAGAAAGCCATATTCTAAAGAACCTGAATTCGTTTAAATGTATGCAATGGCTTTCAGTGGGAGCAGAAGTTGGCTCAACATAGACTCATTTAATTAAACACTAATGATATTTTGGCAGACTCCTCCTAAGCCACAGAGGAACAGTCTACGCAATTAACTTGCAAAATCATCATCGATATTTGGCTGTATTTGCTATATTAAATAAAATGTCTATAGAAAGCTCTAATGGATTGAGTGAGCAATTTGTGTAGAAGAGGGCCCATGATTAAGCACCACAGAGCCATGGAGAAGAAACATGACTTCACAGAAATCCGTAGCAAAACTCCCACAGACATCAGTAGGATGAGATTTCACTCTGAGTGTGTGTGAAGGTGGGAACATTTGCCTAATGCTAGCTTTGTGCCAGCGTGCTATCAGCTCTATGCAAAACTGGCATCTGTTCCAGCATGCCCAGACCTTTGGCTAAAAGCATCTGCTACCTTCTGAACTGAATTCCCAAATCCCTCCTGTCCCAGCTCTGATTGAAATTCTGTGAGTGTGTGACTCAGAGCTTTCACTTGCAGCCTGGGGGAAAACACAATAGGAAAACCAAAGGTGAGTACTGAATGTGAAGTGATGGGAGGAGGGGTTGGCTACTCTAAGGAAGTTTTTGGTTTCCTTTGTTGAACAGCCTGCTAAGGGCTTCTTAATAGCATAAACCACTTCTAGGCTTAGAATCAAACACCTACTTAGAACTAGATAATTAGGTGTGTATCTTATCATCTGCATTGTGTTCCCTATAATGAACATACTGATGTTGTCTCATTGAACAGGTAGAGATTGCCACTTAGTCTGGATAAAGCAGAACTCACTTTACTGCCCTGAATCCAGTTAGTCCTAACAGAATGAGAACCAACACATCGTAGGCACACCTAGTAGCAGAATGTCCAGGAACATCTCACCCTGCTGTTCCTCAAAATCCAGGTTAGTCTCCTACATCAGGGTGTGCATCTTTTAGAAGCACTAATTTCAGTGGGATGGATGGATGATGCTGTTAATCTGCATTGCGAAGATAAAGGACTCATTTATTTCCTATCTCATTGGCACTGAGGGATAATTGAGACACGGTCTTACAGTCTGGCTCTTTATAACTAACAGAGTGAAGAAATTTGTCTTTTGAATTATACTTATGCTCATCTCCAAACTATATTTTATTAACAGTATTTTATTACCCTTGCAGTGTATAACTGAAGTAGTGGGGACCTGCCAACTGTGGTGTTCACTGACTGACATCTGATTTTCTACTGTGATTGAATTGGAGACAGTCCAATATTCCCAAGACTAGCACCTTCAAAATACTCCTGGAGTTCCTTTTAGCTGACTGGAGAGAATAATGCCTTGAGTCATGGTTATTGGTGTGCTATGTAATAAAAGCACAAAAAAGCATATCAAGGATGGTGACAGTGTCAAGGTATTCATGGTTACTGCAGTTATTGTCATATCTACCCAAAAAATGATGAAGACTTCTAGCAAGTCCTGCTGGGAAGGTAAGGATTTGCTATCTGGCATTAAGTCACACTCTCAGCATTTAGACCTATGTATATGCTCTCATCATGGTGATATGTCTTCTGGTTCTAAAATGAGCAAGATCCTATTAGCAGTGGGAACTGAGTGTGATTGGCTGGAGAACTGGAGATGTTCCAGTTGTGCTAATAATACTTCTTGCTTGGAGACAATAATAAGCCAGTTCTGTTAATTTTTTGCCTGGCATATACAGTGTGTGATGTACAATAATGTCCATAAGTGGGGTTTGTGAGTGCTGAATGCACACACTGAAGTTTTGCAAAGCAGCTGTCGGAATTAACTGGATAACAACTCAGATGGTTAATCAGCATGTGAATACATCAGGAACTGTGTCTGCAAAGAGATGTGCTATTTATAAACCCCTGGGGAGCTCTGCCACCAGATGGCCTTTTCTGAGCTGTGAGTAGTCCTTAAACCAGTTTGGGTTTGGTGTTTTACAGGATCATGTAACTTTTAAATACCTTTCTGAAATGGCTCATTCTGTCTCCTAGAGATGCAGCTGGGGTGGGCATCCTCATCTCCCTAATGGGAACACCTGTTTCAGGCCATTTAAGCCTTGTTTTCCTGTGATATGAATGGTTGCAGGTGGATGTTTTTGCACGTACGACCATGTTCTTTTCATTCCTATTCTACGTGGCACGTGTTGTAACCAAGTCACCTAATACATTAAATAGGGATCAATCAAGTTAAGATCAAACCTGTAAGTATTTAAAGATGCAAACGCTACTGATTTTAGCAGTTAAGCTCCTAGATAGGAATGAAGTTGACAGAATCCCAGACTGGTTTGGGTGGAAGGAACTTAAAGCTCCTCCAGCTCCAACCTCTGCCATGAGCAGGGACCCCTTCCACTGGAGCAGCTTGCTCCAAGCCCCTGTGTCCAACCTGGCCTTGAGCACTGCCAGGGATGGGGCAGACACAGCTTCTCTGGGCACCCTGTGCCAGCGCCTCAGCACCCTCACAGGGAAGAGCTTCTGCCTAAGAGCTCAGCTCAGTCTCCCCTCTGTCTGATGATACAGAAATATGAACATAATCAACAGAAAACTGATTTTTTGAGTTTAGTCAAGAACTAGAGGCTCATCTTGCATCTGTTAAATACTGAAAGTACACCAGAGCATCCTCTCAGTTATTTATTTTTGCATTGAAATGATTGCAGCATCTCATATAAATATCATTAGCACTCATAGTTCTAATTCTGCGACACTGAAGAATTTTCTTCCCTCCTTTCCTTGTTTCAATTTGTTTCCCCTTTCTCCCACTGTGACCAGGAATACCATGGCTTATTTTGCATGTGGTATATACGTTCCCACAAAAAGTCTGGGTTGGGAGAAGCTGACATTTTCCAAGAGAAATCCATTCCATGAGAAAATCTCCAACCAGCCCCTTCTCTAACTACATCCCGTTTGCCTTTTGTGGGCACAGATCCAGCAGTAATCACACAAGTATCAACAAAGCTCATTCCATGGAACTCACAAGAGACATCCTGACAGCAGAATCTGGCCTTCTGGAGGGATGTTACTGGGTTCTGGAAGCATATTGCTACCAGCTCTTTTCGACTGGGCATCACCTGGGTAGGTCATACACATTGCATGAAGTTCTGATTAAGCAAGTACCTCCTGCAGAGGTACCCAGAATCCAGCTTAGGCTTTGATGGTGGCCTTCACAAGCGGTTCCAGCTCAGCCTCTCCTATAGAGAGTGTTTATTATATGAATATCTACCTTATTCTGGGATGTTATAATACTCTCCCTGTGCAGCCAGGGAGGACTCCTTCATTTAAGTCTCTTCTTTCCCAATGAATACAGGTATAAAGAAACCACAATGGAAGCACATGGAAAAGGGTTATTTGGGTTTTACTGACAATTCCTGCTTGCTTTCTTCCCCTGAGGAATGTGTGGTCCCAGACTCAACTCCCAGCTCTGAGCCAAGTGCAGCAGATCCCTTTGAAGTCCTCCTGAAGGTAACTTGGCTTCCTATAGAAGTAAATCAATTACAGCATTAGTAAGGCTGGCAGGACTTTGCCACAGAGAATGGCAACGTTACTGCTAAATACAAACCATGTACACAAGTCACACTTAGCCAGCTACCACTCCCTGCATTTTTAACCTCATTTGATGACTTTGAGCGAAGAGAAGGGACTCGAGCACTGCAGGCATCTTTGGCTTGTTCTGACCAAAAGGACAGAAGAAAAAGAAGAATGGGTAGTAGTAAAAAACCCTGCATGGCTTTAGGAAGACAATATTTCATCTGAATTAAATTAAGTGGGATGAATTTCAATTTGGTATTTGTGGCACTACTGACTTTATTGATGGCAGTCTGCTTTACAGATTGCATTGATTCTTCCATTTCCCAGAACATGCTTTACTTTCTAATTGGGGGTGTGCACTGTAGCAAAACCAGACTTCAGCTTGCTCTTCATCAGCAGACACACACATCACAGGAAGGAAAGAGAAGGCAGAAATCCCCTTTATGCATAGCAAATGCTTTCCTCTGTGCTTGCAAAACTTAAAGTCATTGTCTAGAAACTTGCAGCACAGGATTCTGGGCAGGAATTGTTCCATACCCAAAAGCCTGCAGAATGACAGGAGCTTTTGCTAAAGTCATTCTTTCTGAACGTTGTCAGAGAACAAAATCTGATTTGCCTCACTATTCTGGTACAAACTGAAAGCCAGATATCAAAGTGGTATTTTAGAGTTGTAAGACAAGTATAGTGAAATGTACTTAACGTGGGCTGATTGATCTGTGTTGTGTTTCTCTTGTATTAGTCACATTTCATTGTCTTCTGCTGCTTTTCAGCAGGATTCTTAATGCCCAAGGGAAAAGCTTCTCCTTTCTCCATCTGCAAGAGCACAGTTCCCTTCCAGTGAAACCCAATGATCACCTCAGACCTGTCCATCTGGCCTGTACTTTGGGCACATACTCAGATCTGAAGTAGACTTCAAGTATTTGGAAGTCACAGTCAAACACAACTCTAAGTACTTTGCTGTACAAAGACAGCTTAGGCATATACAGCAAGCAAACTTTAGCAAAGCCTGGGGTGACTCCATGCTACTGCATTAAAAATAGGAACACTTCTGGTTCAAACATGTCTTTGGTTGTTCCTAAGCCAGGGAAAGAACAGTATTATCTATCATTCATAGAGCTCTTAACCTTTTGGAACAGCACATGTTGTGCACTATGTATATTTATCCATTAAAAAAGCCTGTAGGTTCGTTTTTCCTCTCTGACATGAAAAATGTGGATGGAAGCACTAAAGGCTTAGAGTGTCTCTGTGATTTGCTTGCTAAAGTAAACACGAGCCAATACTGTAACCAGATCACATACTTGTGGTGGAATAAAGTGACTAATTTCATTTTCAGCCACACTGAGAAGAAGCAGAAAGCGCACCAGGAAATAGACTGAGCTTTCTTTAGTGTGGGAATGAAAACACATGTGGGACCAGGGGGCCTGATGGGGATTTTTGGCCTCATTTTACCTGTCTTGGCCCTTGGGATACACTAAGAAGAATAGCTCAGAATGAGATCATAAAGTGGGTTTCTGTTTCTTCCTCACAGAGCAGTTACTACAGAACCAACCATTAGTGTTACACTGGAGGTGGGCTTGGTCCAGATTTACTTGCCCATCTTCTCTTGTGTTTGCAGCAGGGGGTACAGGATTTGTTGGGGTTCCTCTTGCTGTCAGTTCAGCGTTCAGATCCAGCTTTGACTCAGCTGCCAGGGATGGAGAAAGGCAGTGAGGCAGGAGGCTGCCAAGTCATCCTCTATTAGGCGTGAGCTCCAGCTCCAGGCAGCTGTAGTGGACCCCTTCCCTTTCCGCACAGGATGTGCCACTTCAGAATACAGTCCCGTTCCCATAAATGATGCTCAGCATTTTAGCAAAGTACATAGTACCTTTGCTCCTGCTGACTGAAGGAGTCACAAGCACTCTTGAAAGACATCCCTTGCTTAATATGATTACCAGTAAACACTAATGCTGGGCTTGAAGTCCTGTTTAAGCATGCAAATGACTTAATGATTCTTCATGGACCTGTGAGCAGCACATTGGGTTTTGAGGGGTAGGGGTTTATTTGCAGGGTTGTGGTCAGATTTTACAAACTAATCTCCAATAATTTCCATTAGAAATGACTGTTAGCATCTATTTTTGCTCTGGTAGCATCTGGGCAACCAGAATAGCCTCCCACCCTGCTGTTGTACAAAGTACTGAGCAAAAATCACTGCATGTACTGTAAGAGCACAACCTCCATTTAGTTTAGAAAGGGATGTTTCAAGGTCAAAGCATCGTGCTGTGGTCACCTAAATAAAACCTTTCTATCCTTGGATGCAATTGTGTCATTTTGGATCCATTTGTGGGACAGACAACATGTATCTGGGAAGATGCTTTAAAAGAATTTGAGAGGCTCTTGCCAACCTGAATCATTCATGCTAGTCACAGAGCTCATTGTAGCCTGGGAGAGACTGGGGGGGGGGATGCAATCTGTTTCTGACTCCTGAAATCTGGCTTGTGGCCATCAGGAGGATGCTTCAGAAGGAATTTCTTCTGATTAAAAAGAAAGGCAGGAGCTCAGCATAAAGCCATTTGACAAAGATGACCTCAGTTATCATCCCCCTGCTCCAAGGAGGAAAAGAGAACCTGGTGCCTAAAGATGAGTGAATGTTTTCTGGGTCTGGATAGATGCAATGCATGAAGGTGAGAGACACAGAGCAGCGCTACCCTGCTCGAGCAGCCTTTGCAGCTCCCCTTCACTGAGTGTGTGCTATGGCCCTGCCAGACAGGGCTGGGGCTCCACTGCTGTGCAAGAGCCCCTTCCACTCCAAAAGGCCTTGAGCAGTTCAAGTGCAGGAAGGGAAAGGACAGCGCTATCAGTCCCACTGCACTGGCTGAAGTGTGAAGGGCAGAAATGGCCCAGATCCTGGTTGAGGTCATCCAGGCAGCTTTCAGCAGACACGTCCCTTGAGCCCAAACATTTTTGCTTGGAAGCCACAGGAGGTCAAGCTATAAACCATGCTCTTTTCCGCACCAGGAGCTCGTTCCTGCCTCCAAGCACTGCTCTGTGCATGCACTGCAGAGGATGTCACAGTAAAAGGCAGACAAAGGCAGTAATGGTGAGAAACGCAAGCTGCAAGTGGCACTTAGCAGCTTACTCTGTGTAAGGGCAAGCACAGGCACAAGTAAATGGGCTCACAAATCCAGGCTAGGAGAACACACAGATTTAAGGCAGATGGAAGGTGAAGTATTCTTCCTCTTAACAAGTATCAACAAGCTAGTAATGAACCCCTCGTGCTCCCACCGCCCTCCCGCTTTGACACGCGCTGCTCCTGCTTTGCTTCGTGCTCCCTGCATCTGAGAAGTCCCAAACTGAACCAAGGAGCAGCCAAGCTTGGGGCAGCAGCCTTCACTGTGTGAATCACACCAGCAGCAAATGAGGTAGGAAACCATAGAACCTCCAGACACGGAGTTCAAGTCTCATTGGCTGGGTAAGAGGTGAGGCAGGGCCCTCCCCACTGGGAAGGCTCAGGTCTGATCCGTGCTTTGGGAGGTCTCTGGAAACACTCAGCATTTCCCTGCAGGTTCTCTCCTGTGCAATTGACTGATGCCAAAACTAAGGGGAGTTCCAGGGTGCCTCAGAGATACAGGAATGGGAAGCTGGGGCTCCCCCTGCACCCAGCAGTGTTCTAGCAAAGGAAGTCATTGTTCTGTCCTTAGGAAGAAAGCGCAATGCCTGGGGCAAGTGGGGGAAGTTGCAGTTTCTCTGTGCTGGGACCCATCTACCCTCATATCCTGATCTCCTAAAGCACAGAGGCTTCCCTCTGAAAGAAAGATCTAGTTTGGCTTTGAGTTCATGGAAGGAAAGCCTCCTTATTGCATTGGATCCGCTTGAGGCTTGCACGAAATCCACTGTGTAACTGGGAAATGAAAGAAAACCTGACATTCTTCAGTGAAAGCATCAGTTTGTATTCCCACATTTAGTCTGGGTACCAGGTTTGACATACGTCAAGGAGGATGCTCTCAGGGCCTGCAGACAGCACCAAGAAACCAGCACAAGTGCAGATGATTTATGCGCTCTGCTCTGAAGTGCTGTTGCAAACAAAAAGGAGGAAATAGGGGTAGATTTTAGGAAAGAGCAATGATGTGTGAGAGCAATGAGGTGCGAACCATGGGCCAGATCCCACGTCAACACCAGCACTAAGGCAGCTGTGAGTGGTGGGGGTTCTGTAACTGAAACCACTTTTGCTTTGCTGTCTGTGTAAATAAAAGACGTTCCTGGTGAGTTGAATCCTTGATCTGCAGCCTGCGGGCCGGGCCGGGGGTGATGTCCCCCTTGTCTCTGTCTATCAGAGCCCCCCTTTGCTTGGGGTGCGTGTGCCTGGGTACATGGCCCTTGTTAAAGTGAGGAGCTGCTCCTTGGGGCAGCTTTCACTCGGTTTCGTGTGTGTTTCTCTCATTGGAAGGGTGGAACAAAAGGGGGATGTGGGGGCAGTGATGTCATTTGGGGTGCCCCAGTGTCACTGGGGGGGGGGGGCGATGATTCGATGGAGGAGCGGATGGGGGTTCCTCTGAAGAAAGGGGGGTAACAGCTCGTTTGGGGCTGACTCCCCCCAAAAGACCTTTCCATAACAGGCTCTGCTTGTGGAGCCGGAGCCGCTGTGGTGGCCCCAGAATAGTGCAAACCCCCTGATTCTGGGTCTGCAAGGACTGGGGGGGTGCTGGGAGGGGATACCCGCACAAAACTGGGTACTGCGGGTGAGGGGGGGCCGCGGTGTGGGGCCGGGAGCTGCTCGCTGCTGCCATCCTGTGTCCAAGTTGCGGAGCTGCAGGTGGGGGAGCGCTGTGCAGCGACGTGTTCTGTTCGCTGCTGCCATCCTGTGTCCAAAGTGCGGTACTGCAAGTGGAGGAGCGCGGCGGGGCGGTGTGTTCTCTTTGCTGCTGCCATCCTGTGGCCAAAGTGCGGTACTGCAGGTGGAGGAGCGCGGCGGGGCGGTGTGTTCTCTTTGCTGCTGCCATCCTGTGGCCAAAGTGCGGTACTGCAACCAGGGCTCCACGCATGCCCTATTGCATCTGCTGAACGGTTCGCGGACGAGGTGGGAGGCAGAAGGGAGCCCGGCGGCGGCGCCTCACGGTGCTCAGTAGATACCCCGGGGCCATAGTGCCATGGGGCGCTCGTCCCAGCACGGGAATTGAGGGGTCCCAGCACGGGAATTGAGGGGGGACGTCGCGGAGCAGGGCCTGAGCAAGGGATGTGGCACCATCCCCTGCAGCCTGCGGGTCCCCCTTGTCTCTGGTGGCCCAAAAATACCCCCAAACCCCTCATTCTGGGTGTGCATAAGTTGAGGGGGGGGGATACCCACACAGAACTCGGTACTGCAGGTGGGGGGAGCGCGGTGTTGCGTAGGTTGCTCTCTCTGCTGCCATCCTGTGTCCGGCGTGCGGTACTGCAAGTGGAGGAGCGCGGCGGGGCGGTGTGTTCTCTTTGCTGCTGCCATCCTGTGGCCAAAGTGCGGTACTGCAACCAGGGCTCCACGCATGCCCTATTGCATCTGCTGAACGGTTCGCGGACGAGGTGGGAGGCAGAAGGGAGCCCGGCGGCGGCGCCTCACGGTGCTCAGTAGATACCCCGGGGCCATAGTGCCATGGGGCGCTCGTCCCAGCACGGGAATTGAGGGGTCCCAGCACGGGAATTGAGGGGGGACGTCGCGGAGCAGGGCCTGAGCAAGGGATGTGGCACCATCCCCTGCAGCCTGCGGGTCCCCCTTGTCTCTGGTGGCCCCAAAATACCCCCAAACCCCTCATTCTGGATGTGCATAAGTTGAGGGGGGGGGATACCCACACAGAACTCGGTACTGCAGGTGGGGGGAGCGCGGTGTTGCGTAGGTTGCTCTCTCTGCTGCCATCCTGTGTCCGAAGTGCGGTACTGCAGGTGGAGGAGAGCGGCGGGGCGGTGTGTTCTCTTTGCTGCTGCCATCCTCTGGCCAAAGTGCGGTACTGCAACCAGGGCTCCACGCATGCCCTATTGCATCTGCTGAACGGTTCGCGGACGAGGTGGGAGGCAGAGGGGAGCCCGGCGGCGGCGCCTCACGATGCTCAGTAGATACCCCGGGGCCATAGTGCCATGGGATGCTCGTCCCAGCACGGGAATTGAGGGGGGACGTCGCGGAGCAGGGCCTGAGCAAGGGATGTGGCACCATCCCCTGCAGCCTGCGGGTCCCCCTTGTCTCTGGTGGCCCAAAAATACCCCCAAACCCCTCATTCTGGGTGTGCATAAGTTGAGGGGGGGGATACCCACACAGAACTCGGTACTGCAGGTGGGGGGAGCGCGGTGTTGCGTAGGTTGCTCTCTCTGCTGCCATCCTGTGT